GACTATTTTGGCGAGTTGACGGCTCGTATCGCCTCCGAAAAGCTCTTGCTCATTGATCGCGCATACGCCTGTGGCAATGTTACTGCACGATCAAATTCTTATCAGGATCTGATCAGATTCTTTTAGCATCAGCTCAGGATGAAAATTAGAACTCAGAGAAAACGGTTGGTATCGACTGATTTCAAAGAAAGGTGGGTCAAAATGGCGAGCCTGATTTTCCTGAACGGGGCTAGCCTTGATTTTCTTTTTTTTTTAAAGTCCACCTAAGCCACAACGGGGCTGTTTTCTGTGAAACCCTCGCTTAGGTTAGACCCTTCTTGTATATCTAGTTAATGTGAGCAAGTGTTGTTCCCGACCTTTCCCCGCCTTCTTTGGTTATTAGCCAAGTCAAGATTCTTAACCTCCCCCAATTTGTTTTGGCATGCCCTTATCATCTCGACTGGGTCATTTTTATAAATTTTTTAATGCCCTTATTTTTTATCATTTTCCTTTCCCTTAGTGAGAGAGCCTCTTGATTTTGTCAGAAGAGAGAATATAGCTGTCACTTATTTTTGAGGGGTGGCCGGGATCCTACTAACATCAATTATTTTAATCAATTATTTGTTTTGGGGGTCACCCCCGCCCTCATCATTTCATAACATTGATGTCATCCTCAACATTTTATATATTTTTGTGTACATATTGCCATTTTTATTATCCTGGGGTGTATTGTAGGTTCCCTGTGAACTTGTGGTATATGCATCATGAGGAACAGGTTTTTTGTGGTGAATAGATAAATTGTAATGAAAGAATGGGTCATGAATCTGATAAGGTAAGTTAGGTATAGGATAGCTAGTGTCGACCAGTCTTAACCCAACTCCTCCTTTTAGGCCTTGTGCCAAGATTACTGAAAAAATTAGTAATAAATCGTAGACATGTTGTCGTCCGAAGTCGGTGCCGGTCTGAGCATAGCTTAGATGAGGCACAAGGCTTAAATTATGGGGTAGCCAATGAGGATCGAACTCTATTCAGTCGTAATTGTTCTAGCGCTAATTGTTAAACACTGCACCACCATCATCATCATCATCTTGCGGCCTCAGCCGAGATTGAACTCACCAATACTTTGATTGGTGTAGTTCATAATCTTGTCAAATAGCTGAATTCTTGATGCTTCGCTAGGGCTATCAAGGGTGTTTTTATCGTGACACCAACACTAAATGGATTGCCAAACAAGGCTCAGAGAGACTCCATTCACCCTCCTCTAAGAGCAGGTTTGAATTCAGAGTTTTCCTTCTCCTAGACCAGTTGCCATCCAAAGCTATAGAACCCAGTCTGTCCTGCTATTAACCCATAGCTGGAGGGAGAAGAAAGAGGATTCACACCTTTCACAAGGGTGTTAGCACGTAAGTGAATGTAATGGATTCGACTGGAATTCGAACTCGGCTCTCCGATTTCTCAATCCAAGCCGCTATCCATTACTCCTCTACAACACTTTGTTCCTCAAGTGGCTGTGGTTTCTACGGCAGTGTCACATTTGTTACCTCCCGCCTCTTCCTCATCTTTGCCTATTACTCCCTTCCGTAGTTGGTGGGAGTGTAATCGGTTAGGTGTTCCCCTCCACCGCACTACTAATCTCAACATATTCTTTGCTTACATTACAACAATCTTTCATTTTGAATAAAGGTATCGTCGTAGTGAATAAAAGAGCATATATTATTTGAATACCCTGTCTCTTCCTTTTGAATAAAAATATATTTAATTTGAATAAAATTATATTAAATTTTACAAGAGGTATGTGGCTTAGAGAATAATTCTGTAAACAGAATTAATTTGGTTCAGGATTTCTTTTCAGTACGAATTCCACTGTAAGAAAAACTGAAATCATATCTTCTTAAAATTTATCCAGTTAAGTAAGTAGAGCCTAAAAAAAATTTGAAACACGAGATTGCAAACGAAGTCATTACCGTGGTGTCTACCCAATGATTATCAAACCCACCCTATTATTCAAATAAAGTGTATAACTCTTCATTTTGTTCGCTTGTGTAATATCCTTTCAGGATGTTTGCTTTCAAGGCCCTCAATAACTTTCTCTCTTTTTTGCTCTAAATAACTTTTGACTAATTACCATTCCTATTTGTCCTTACTTTACACAAACCCGTTAAGCAGTCTCCTCGTTTTCCCTTACTTCTCTTGCCTTCATTACGTCAGAACAGTGTTAAATTCTCGATGCCCTCTTTCCTCATTATGTGTCTTTTTATCTGACTGTAAGGAAAGTCTGGTCACTATGCTGTGACAGATTTTTTTTCTCATCAGAATCCATCTTTCACATCTAAAAATCTACCATCCGCCCGTGCATTGAATACTGCCGCCATATCTGGTCTGGTGCTCCTGTTATATATCTTGAGATTCTCAACAAAATCCAAAGAATGTAATGTCATTGGTCCTCACCTAAAATCACGACTTTACTTTCCTACCGCCAAAGTTTTTCTCACTAGAATTTATCTTGCATATTTATAATTCT